AGCCAGGATGGTCTCGATCTCCTGACCTCGTGATCCACCCGCCTCAGCCTCCCAAAGTGCTGGGATTACAGGCTTGAGCCACCGCGCCCGGCCTAGGGCCTTTTTTTTTAAGTGCCCAGTTCAGTGGCGCTAAGCACATTCATCGCGCTGTGCAGACATTGCCAGCCTCCATCTCTAGAACTTTCCACCTTCCCAAACTGAAGCTCTGTCCCCACTTACTCTCCATCTCCGTCCCCCAGCCCCTGGCACCTACCTTCCTACTTCCTGTCTCTATGGACCTAGTGACTCTGGGGACCGTATAGAATGTGTCCCTTGCAGAGGACCTGGCTCCTGAGGCTCCTCCTGCCGGCAGAGTTGGGGCCTGTAAAACCAAGGGACAGGCCCAGCCTGGACCCAGCGGCGTTTGGAGGTTCAGACGCCTTTGGGTCAGGGTCCTCTTCTAGGGGTCCCCACCCGTGGGACACCCGTCAGACACGGCAGGCTCTCGCATGGTGGCTTCCCAGATGCGCCCCCACCCCAGCTGTGCGGAGACTAAAGCTTGGAGGCAGGGAAAGATGACCAGTGAGCTTCCGGAGCCAGGCCCTCTCGGTGGCCGCTGCACTTGCTGCAGGACTCTGAGCAAACTCCACCCCCTGGGGTTCTCCATTTCCTCCGCATCAGCAGAGGGGTCCACCCCGCCATGCCAACGCCTCTCCAGGTCCTGTCTCTTATACACATCTAGATGTGTATAAGAGACAGCTCCATTTCCTCCGCATCAGCAGAGGGGTCCACCCCGCCATGCCAACGCCTCTCCAGGTCTTGCCCTTGCTCTTCCTGGCCCTGGTCCCAGAGGTGTTCAGTCCGCTGCTGCCGCTCTGTGCGTTCACTTGGGTCCTGGCCGGTCCAGTCATTCATTCACTCAGCAAACAGTCCTGAGTGCCCATGGCCCGGGTCCCCAGCTGGGTGCTGGATTCAGAGAGGAGAAACTGGTTCCTGTCCTCAGGACCTCTGGGTCTGGAGGGGAGGCCGCCAGACACTCGGGAGGGAATTTGAGTAGGTGTGCCCGATTCTCTAGGGAGGAGTCCCCAGCGGCAGTCCCCAGGCAGAGCACTGCAGGGGACGTGACAGTCAGGCTCTGCCACGTCCCCAGCGTTAGCCGCC